GTCAAGTATGTGACCATAAGCTTGCAGCCCCTCTTCCCTTCCTGCTATCACAGTCTGTGACCCCTGGGCCTCAGGAATGAACCAGGAGTGGCGCTGCAATTCTCAGAAATTTCCAGAGCCCTCTCAACCCCCCCAACCTTGGCCAGACATAGCCTCTATCACCCCTGCAGCAGCTGGAGAAGCTCAGAGAGCTCGGTTGGCCCCCACAGAGATGCTCACTATGACTATATACACCTTTAGCACGCATAGAGTACATGCACATGAAATATATGTTGGGAAACCTACCTGTAAATGAGAAACAATACAAAATCTAAATTTACATGAACCCAAAAGAACTCTACATGCGAACAGGACACACTAAGGCCTGCATCCAGGAGCTTAGAAACCCTGAGATCCAGCCTTGTTGCCATAAATGAACATAAATGTCACTTTTTTTTACATCTACTGCCAATTAAACTTTTCACTTTCTACAGTGTCTGCATGTGGCAACTACAGTATTATTAGAATTAGATTATGGCAGATAAACTATGATTAAGATATGGTTAGGGGGTAAGGTAAGGGAAACATGGTTAGTGTTAATAAAAGAGACAATAAGAAAAATGGGCCACTCCGGTGTTTTATTATTGCAGTTCCATAAAGTAAAGGGATGTGCAAGAAATAGATTAGGAAAAGAATTGGTCAGTTGTTCAAACATTTCCCATAATACAACACAGACAGACCTCTACAGAGTCATAGATGACATTACAGTTTTATTAAGTTATTACATTACAGTTTTTATTGTTTTTACAGGCTGAGTAGTGACTAATGTGACATAAACTGGTAGTGTTGTACTGGACTACACCTGTAAATATAATGTAGGCCAGTACAACACCGTCTTTAACTATGACCTCAATAATAAACGTAGAATAGACTTCATACTTTCACGACAATTTCACCAAAAACTGAAACATTTTGAGCTTCATAAACACAGATGTTAAGATGGAAATGTTGCATTGAATTTCATACAATTGTACCTAATAAAGTGGCCGATCAGTGTATGATGCATTTGCTGAGTTACTCCCAAGCTTGAGCCGACACTGGCATACTGTATAGTGGCATAAAGAGGCCAGAGGATGAACTTTGCCTCTTCACTCACAGGACAGTAAACAGGCTCCCTACTGCATACACAGCATACAGCTTACACACATATACACACATGCAGGCACACAGAAAAATACACACAAGTCAGAGGATACTGATAACATGACCCTGTTTCAATAGCAATATACAATTCTGCCAGCTGCACTTGGAGTACACGCACACACCTACACGCAAATATGAGCATTAGCAAACACTAACCCAGTCATATGTTGATATGCGTGTGAGTGCACATCACCCCCATGCATACATTCATTAGCAAAACGTGACACACAAGCGTAAATATACAGCACAAGGCTAGAGCGCAGTGACACTCTGAGCTCCACACCCTGCAGTTCAAGGTCAGATCAGTTGGTCTCTAGGATCTACTGTCCTGCTCCTGCCCCACCTCCCTCACCCACTGACCCTCCCCTCTCCTTCAACCACCCATGCTCTGGAATGAGTCACCCTGCAGTGTGCCAAAGGAAACCCCTTCACTGATAATGATACCATACAGTGCAGTAGTGCTGATCTATACAAGGCTGACCCTTATGTGTAGTGCACATACTGTACATACTGTGAGTTTTTAGGAATATCAAGTGTTGAATGGGTCAGTTACTATGAAGGGAACACCTAAAGGCTCATATCTGGTTGTGCACCATGAAACTAAAAGACTCCAATCAGTTATGGCCAGCTATGTGTTCAAGACATTCCTTCCCCCTCACCTCTCACCCCCATCCTTCTTTTTCACTCTGGGGTCAAAGTTTTCACCTTATCTGGAAGCCATCAGCAGTACCAGTCCAACCTCTGTGTCTCATTTGGTTAAAACTGTTGCACATCGTTAAAACCATTTTCTTGGGGCCTGAGAAGTAGTAAAAAGGTTAAAAAAAAATCACCCAGACATTTAAGTCAAGTGTAGAATCTTTATTGTCATTATGCATAGCACAACGAAATTTCTTCCATGCCTCACAAGCGAGGTAATCCAGGTCCCTGCCAAGGTTTTCACTGCACATATTGTCTAGTGGGCACACTGCAACTCTTATATTGTGAAGGTGAAGGAGGAGTAGACTGTTGTGATCCAGTTTATTATTTTGGCTAGTGCTTTCTTCTAGCTGTGTGGTCATGGGAGAAATCGGCACAGCCAACAGGCACTGAGGACACTGACTGGGGTGCGGCCTGACACAAGCCACGTGGTCAGAGAGAGAAAGAGGAGACAATTTAAAAGAGGCTGTAAGCAGAAAGGCAATCAGAGCAATAGTGTGTGAAATGTTGGTGAGGTTATTTGAATTTCACATTTATATTCTCATATTTTCTCACTCGCACTTCCTCCTTCCTCTCATGCTTTTCAGATATTCTCTCCTCACTCTTGCACTTCAACTTCAGCCACCTCTGCCTGACCAAACTTCAACTTGCACCTCATCGCTCCATCCATCCCTCAGTCTTTTCTCCCTCACAGCCTTTCTCGCGCTCTCTCCCCTCAGTCTGACACAGCTACCCTCCTGGCCGTTTCCTTTCTGCCGGCCTGCCCCAACAAAGGTGCTCAGTCATGTGAAACCTAATCTCCAGCCCCCGAAAACCTGACCCCTGACCCTTTCAGTCTTCACACAGCCAGAAAGGGAGGGCAGTCAGGGCAGGAAAGGGAGGCTTTTGGGAAAAGGTCACATTCCCCAAGACAATTTTGTGTATGCACGTGTATGTGTGTGTCTATGTGTGTTTGTGTGTGTGCAGTCATCCAATCCATTATGTGGTTTGTGCTCCAGCGTCAGCATGCGTGTTTGATTCTATGTCTGAACCAAAGCATATGAAGGGAGATATGCCTGTATACCCCTGTGTGCTTAACTGTCTTTTAAGTTTTCATGTGTGTGCATGCATGTCTGTTGTACAGTAGGTATGAGTGTGGACATGCATAGATTACATTGTATGTGCGTATGTATATGGGGGTGGGAAAGCACTTTCAGCCACAAAGCGTCGCTGCCCATAGACAAAACACAGACTGTTTTTTAGCTGGGCCAGACCTGTAAGTCTTGTCTGGGCAGCGCTCCTCTCCTTCCACCGTGTACTGGCAATCCTCAGATCTTTATGTGTCTGTGTGTGTGTGTGTGTGTGTGTGTGTGAAACACAGTGTGTATATGTGTGAGGAACTGGGTGTCAGCTGTCCTGGGTGATTAGTGCTTTTATATTGTTCCAAGGAGCCCGGGCGAGGCCCCCTCTTCACTGCACCACAGCACAGCTGCAGTGTGCCTCTCCATCTCTGCTCTTCAGCCTGCCCGTACTCACAGACACTCATGAGATGGGCTCGGACCCAAGAAAAAATGAGAATGAGCAAGAACTACAGGAAGAGCAATGGACAAAGGAACTGAGCATGACAGAGTGCGTGTAATATAGGGAATGAAGAAAACAAGGGGTAGAAGAGATAAAGAGGTATGATCCACAGACCCTTGATACAAGAAGGAAACAAGCGACAGAGAAAAGGAGGAAGGCAGAGAAATAGTGGGAGAAGAGCGGACAGAGAGAAGTGGCATATTAGGAGGATTAGAGTCGATTCCAGGTGTCAGCTCTCTCCTGGACATGATTTTCCACAGCTATGCCTGGGAGGCCTATCTTGCTTAAACACACGAACAAGTCAGGACAGAGAAAGAGAGGTGAAGCAGGGGAGGAAGGAAAAAGCAGAACAGAGACGAGGGAACCTTCATCTTTTCAAGAGCATTTGCGAGCTAGTTTCAATTAGCATAATACATTCTTGTCTTGAAGAGAGAACCAGTGTATCCCCAGAGACTTGCTGGAAATGAGAGTAACAAAAATAACACTTTTCATTTTCTCCGACATCTTGTTTTACAAATGAAAGTAAGCCTGATGAAGAAAACTATTCAAATAGGACGACAGGCATTACTCCCTCATGGCAAACCTTTTGAAAACTTTCCTTTCAATCAAAGAGCTGTAACTGTTGCCTTTATGAGTTACAGACATATGTCTACACAAGGAGGAAGAGGAGGGAGCGGGAGATGGTAGGCAAGGGCAAGGGAGTCTTCTATGGGAAAAGTATGTCTGCTATGCTTGGGATGTTTGGTGGTGGGATATGTGGGCCAGAGCATTGTTGCTCTCTTGACACTGAAATTGGGCAAGGCAGAGGGTGGCAACTAAACATTATAAATGCGTATATACACAAGAACACACACAAGCTAACAATTCCTCACGCCCAGCACCCACCCAACCACCCCCACTTCCTTGCAACTCTGCTTTATCTTAACTGTCAACACCTGGCCTAAGCAGGAACCTCTCTATCTGTGAACTTTAATCTGGCCCCGCTAGGCAAACAGCACCGAGCTCGGACAAGAAGAGCGATTAGTCTGTCACGTTGTTCTCCAGTGCCTCAACAGTGAGAGGAGGAAACAGGGAAGGAACAGGTCGGAAGAAAAGAAAAAGACCGGGACGTAGGACGATATGTAGACGTAAATTCGAAAAAAAAGAGACAAAAGAAGAACGAGACACAAAGGCAGAGCAAATGCTGATGGAATGGAGTGATAAGAAAAAAAGAGATGGAGGACAAGGCAGGGAGACAGGAGGGTGGCTAGAGATATAACACAGACACTTAGCCTGACCTGACAAGGCCTCAGACCAGAGATATGGTGGTGAACTTCCACTCTCATGACGGCTGACTCAAGCTGAACCATACAAACACACTTGGGTGAAATGCAACCAAACAGATGTACTCACAGTGCACTTGTGTACAAAATAACTCATATTAAATTGTGCTTATATATGTGTGTCTCTTAAGAGACTTATATAATGTTGTATTTTTAGACTGTGAGTATGCAGACCACACTAAAAAAGAAAAGCACCAAGTTCAGATATGTATGTAATACTTTTTATTTATTTTTTTCCCAAGACAAAATGGCTGAGTGGAGAGAATAATGCAGACAACAGCTGAAAATAGAGTGGCATCTCTTTAACTGAAAAATAACAAAATCTATATGTCGAGTAAGAACTCATAAATGTTGGTCAATGACCTTTGGTCATCAAACAGAGAAATTAAGCTATCACAGTTTACCAGAAGAGAGACAAATAGGCTGATTTGTTTTGCAGGGACTCTGTTCTGAACAGAGCATGTGTGTGAATGTTCATAATAAATAATGCTGACCAATGCCATAGGTCAACTTCAAGTTCAGCTCAGAACAAATAGCTTGAAAGGAAACACAGAACCTAGTATGAAATCAGGCTGGAAACTTAAATGTACCTCAGTACTATCAGCAATGATAACATGTACCAAACATTTTTCTTTCTATGATTTCAGTTAAGCTTAGAATATGCCTTGCATATGCGATGTACCATATTTAAATTATAAAGCACCATGGCTCTTTTGGCAATGAAAAAACAAAATTCATAATAACAGGAAAAGAAGACAGTAGCAAAAAAAAAAAAACCTTCTCAGATTGATGCTGGATTGATTGCATATGACAAAAGGGTCTTTTCCAAAAACAGCTGGAATGTTATCAGGCGGTACATGTTCAAGGACAGTAAAAAGTTGGCTACCAATAAAACCCAACAATAGCTTGTATTACTGCATATAAAATGGCAGGAGAGAAAATATATAAAACAAACTAAAAAGATATGTACAGCCACCTGTTTTTACCTCATTGTGGTCGCTCCAGCGGGACTGCCTGAAAAGGCCATTATATGACCTCTCACCCTTGGGGAACACCACAACATTTTATTTTTCAAAAACATACTTATTTTCAAGCATACAAATTATTCACACTATATTATCCTGCCAAATTAAGAAAATATACGGTGGCAGCTTGTTGGGATTTTTTTCACTACAGAAAAAAGGGTACATTGAAACCTTTAAAGAGTACAGGCAAAACAGTTAAAAATACAGGCTCCAACATAAATACTATAAGTGCCTACACTAAGTGAACATTAATTTCAAATACCATTCTAAATACAGGAAAAAGTAGACCATAAATGTGTGTTGAACATAGGAACTTACATGAGTGTGCATTTTCCTATGTGTTTTAAGTTCTCTCTATATATTTATATATCATAAATCTCTCCCCAATGAAAATTTTTGTTCAACCTGAAGACTTGTATATAGTAAAGGCAAAAAAGATGAGACACATTTATTACAATTCATTACATAGTGATCAAGTCCCAGATGTCACCAAGAAAGAAAAGAGAAAAAAAACAATAATCAATCAAAACCAAAGCAACCTTTAAATAAGTTTCTCCCCTAAAGATATTGAAGTGTTACCTAAAAAAAATCAACAACAATTTTTTTAAATCAAATTTGTACATTTGTGTAAAGAGCAGTATATTTCTATAGTTGGTATGAAGCAGGATATTTCTATGGCGGTTCCTGCATTGATGCCCCCAGGAGGCAAACTGATGTTCAGTTCTCAGGAGGAGACATGGCTGGCAACAGTTTCTAGTTCAATTTTTTTTAATTTTTTTTTACGCAAAGCAATGACACCACACTAATCTGTCAGCATAAGAGCAAGTTTTCCCTTGAGCATCCGACTGTAAACTGGGAAAATTAAACAGTGCACGTAGGTAGTCCCAGACCGAAATCCGGTCCTCATTTTATACTCAACCGACTGTACCTCTGATTAGAGAGACAGATACAGAATTCAAGGCAGAGTGACAAGTGCTATATCATCAACAATGTCAGGATGGAGTTTAAAAAAATACAACTACTACAATGAGGTCTAGAGCATGTTACCTCAAAAGAACTGGAAAATTTTACTCTTGTGTAGAAAGGGGCTATTAATTGAAAGGAACATTTCTGCAAAATTCAGATCCTTGACTTTTTGATTTGGACTTCAATTTCATATTATTTCCAATGTGAGTTAATAATAGTTTCAGATTACTTAAGGGTTTCTAAGACCTAATACATTAAAGAGAATAAGCACTATAAGGACATAAACATTTGAATTGTAAAGACACCTGGTTAACCCACTCCACATATGCTACCCTGACCCTCCACCCACTATTACCCATCTACACCCGCTCAAACTCCCACCCAGCCCTCACCCAGTATCTGTCTGGCTTAGAACAACTAAAACCCGCTTGTGGTCTTCAGTTTGCTGCTGGCTACACTGAAGAAATACAAGTCTGTGCTACTTACAAGGGGAAAAACTGCAAACCTTTAATTTTCAAAGAAAATAAACACTCTAGAAAATTAAGAGCTTTACACTGGTTAAACAAACTCGTCAGAGTAGCCTCTCAGTATGGTGCCCAACAAAGCCAAAACTCTACGCGTAAAACTCCTCTTTAGCATGTAACATGCCAGTAAACAGAATCGGGAGAATAATATTCATGAATCAGGCAGATAAATGATTTAGCAGAGATACACATTATTTGTTTTCACTTTTGTTTAGCTGGTTCCTTATGCTCTGCTAAGTCACAAAACAACAGGGTGGTGCAGGTGCTTGATGCAAGGACCTGCTTATTCCATATGTGCACAAAAATGTCTATAGCTGAAACTCCAAGCTTATAGCAAAAAGCAGGATGAATTAATGCAGGTAAAATATCCAAGGCACTCTTTGTTGTCATTTCACACCATATTGTTAATTTCATTGCTGTTTGTAAAAGAAATATTTCATGGCGCTAGTGCCTAGCATTTCATAGGCAGCCCAATTCTTAAATATAAATCTCTTATCTCAGTCTTGCATGGAAATTCTTTCACATAGATCAGTTTTAAGCATGACCCTGCTTGTCTTGATGTTCGATAATATGACACTGTTCACTATGTCTGAACACAAAACTGTACATGATATGTAAAACAGTATGTACTGTGTGCAGCATGGGTTCCCATAACTAACCTTTTTATGTTGAAGAAGTCAAGAGTATCAACAACAACACCAAACCCAACAACTGAGGACAAGGTTCCTCTCTAAGTAGCCAAAACACACCAAGCATGCTGTCCAGTTACAAAAAATACAAAACGTGTAAATTATTGCACAATAGAAAGGCTCAAAAGTTTTGCGTTTGATGCAATAGTATTGCCCCAGTGATGGATCATGCATTCAGCTTTTTCCAGTCGGGGATGATGACAGGGCTGTACTGTGTATTGATGTCTAACCCTGTTGTCCTTTCCCCTCACTTATCGGCTAGTTAGCCAGGGTTGCCTTTTAGCCAGGGGAGCTGAGAGAGAGTTGCCAGCATGCTGCTCTTTGCCTACTCAGTCTTAATGTCATTAGCCAGAGGGCGGTCGCTGTGCCACTTCTTCATGTGTTTCTCCAGCGTGCTGTATACACTGAAAGGCATGTGGCAGATTTCACATTTGTACACATCCTTGCCCATCTGTCCGTGGGTCTTCATGTGGCGGGTGAGCTTTGAGCTCTGGGCGCAGGCATAGCTGCACAGCTCACACTTGTACGGCCGCTCTCCGGTGTGACTGCGTCGGTGCACTGTCAAGTTGCTACAGTTCTTGAACACCTTGCCACAAAATTCACAAGTGTCACTGCGGCGACCGTCCTTGGAGCTCGGCCTGCCATTCCCGCTGCTGCCCCCATGGGGAGTGCTGGCACCGCTGCCAGTGCCGCTGCGTCCTGAAGTGGCCCGCTCCCCATCAAGTTCCCCAGGTGGAGTGGAGAAGCGCAAACTGCCGTTCTCTGAAGAGTGCTCAGATGAGGAGGCGAAAGGCGATTGTCTGGAGTCCCCACCTGTAAAGTTGATGAAGGGGTCCTTGAATTGTCGTGAGGCAGCGTAGCCAGCTAGCCACTGAGAGTACACGTTCTCCGTGTTTGGGATGGTGGGTGTTGGAGGGTCAAGGTCCTTCTCCACCTTAATGCGTTTGGACAGAGGGCTGAGGGAGCCAGGGCTGACCCCTCCAGTCCGCAGCTTCCTGGACAGGCTGTCACTGGTTAGAGATCCCAGGCCATTGATAGTGGTGGTGGACACATCATGTGCCCTGTCTAACTCCATGGCTGAGTCCTCATCGCCAGGATCCCGGGATGAGCTTCGGTGGCGTGGGTGCAGGGCCTCACTGTTCTGGTGGTGGCGGGCCCCTTCTAACCGCAGGCTGAAGCGATAGTCATTCCTTCCCTCTTCTTCTTCGACTCCAGGCTTACTATCACTTTCCTCTTCCTCCCCCTCCTCCTCTTCTTCTTCCTCATCTTCCTCCTCATCTTCTTCTTCTTCCTCATCCTCATCCTCGTCTTCCTCCTCCTCTTCTCCATTTTCAGGCATCAGGCCATTGTTTTCACTCTTGAACTTGTCCACCACTGACTTGAGGGCATCTGCAGCACTGCCCATCAGCTCACTGGTACCAGGCTCAGGGGAGCTGGCGGTTGAGAGGCCGTCATCTGACTTGGCATTAAGCACCGAAGACTTGCTCTGACAGTGTGTTTTCATGTGTCGTTTCAGTTTGCTGGCCTGGGTGCAGGCGTGATTACAGAGGTGACACTTGAATGGCTTTTCCCCTGTGTGGCTACGCCGGTGAACAATTAGGTTGCTCTGGAACTTGAAGGTCTTCCCGCAAAACTCACAAGACTTTGCCTTGAGAGGTGTGCCTGGTTGAACTGCACCGGACAGGGCATTAGTGGTGGAGCAAGAGCCAGAAGGTGACTGAGAGGTGGAGAGGGGAGGCGTTGCTGAAAATGGAGGTTTAGAACCTGGCTGGAATGGCTGTAGCAGCCGTTGCATAGGGTTTGGCCTGTTAGGGGAGAGAGGCGGAGAAGCCCCGCTAGCATTCCCAGCCAGCTCACGTAGGCGTCTAGAGAAGTCCATGCTTGGAGGAGTTTCTAGTGGCACTGAGTTGAGCCTCATCACTCTGTCAAAGGCGCTAGGATGGTGAGTTGCCAGAGCCAGGTCATCAGGACTGAGGTGATGGCGTGGTGGTGGGCTGAACAGCGGTGGCGTTCTAGGGTAACGACCCTCCCGGGGTGTGGATGCTGAATCCCGGCCAGACCCAGAGCCTGGTATCCTCAGGAGACTGTAAGGACTGCCGTCAGCCAAGTGGACAGCATGGAGGGGAGGCTGGGAGGAGGCACAGTCACCCCCCATCCCAGGAGCTGCAGCCACACGCGGGGTGAGGGGGCTGCCAGGCTCGCTCTCCAGATAGATGCGAAAGCCATGGGTGTTCTGGGCATGTTGGAGCAGGAACCAGGCACTGGTGAAGGGCTGCTTGCACGTGGTGCAGGTGTAACTGCTGGGCTCATCTTTATCTGACAAAAAAAGGGACACAGAGAGAAACTAAATTTAATCAACCCAGTAAAGGACTTAAGTAAGCACTTACGGATAAACAAGTGATACTGATATTTTGTCATTTTCTAGCACTATAAAATGTGCCCTGATGTGCATTAAATCACCAGCTATTATTGGCCAAATTGACTGTGATTGGACAGAAAAATGGTTGAAAATTATTTTAACTGAAAATTAAAGTTCCCTTTTACTTTTGTGATTAAATGCAAATGAATCTTAAGACATTGAGCAAATGATTTTTGTAATTACTACAAAATCTGAAAATGTGAACTACATGTGGAAAAATATCAAACCAGACTTTGCTTCCAGTGGGTGTACACTTAATAAAAGAATACATGAAGCAATAATAAGAAATATCTCAGGCAGCGAACAGGCAATTTACACAGTTGAGAAGGCAGAGGAATATTTCAAACAATTGACTTTCAATAGCACTCGCACACTGACCTGAGATTTGCCTGACAATGCACGCCTAATCTCATTAAACACACTCATCTCCCCTCCAATGCCTTGTTTACAGAATTAGCAAGGCTAAAGTGGGACATGTATCTGATGCTGCATATTAACACTGAATACAAATAAGAGGTCACATGTTAATAAACTGTACCAACGTTTATCACAAGAAACACATTCACAGCAAAAAAGAACCAAAGGAGTAAACTGTGTGTGTGTGTGTGTGTGTTTGTGGGTGGGTGGGGAGGCGCCTATGAAAATGCATTTCATGCATTACTTTTCTATTTCTGATATTTCATGCTTTATGGATTTAGTGAAATCCTCTCAGGTGAATAGAAAAGGAGAAGAAGGGGAAAGCAGAAGTGAGAGATATGCAAAATAAGATGCATCCGCCACTTGCAAATGTGCTCCTTCTTTCATCTTTTGGCTTTCTTATCCTTTTTTTTTTTCTCCTTTTTTCTTTTTTCACCGGAGGGCATTTTTCTGAAGTTATTTGCAGACACTGAACCTACAACCATGGCCGTGCTGTGCTGGAGACAGAGAACAAGGGAGGCAGAGAGAGGAAGATGGGCCAAGCGTGTGTGGTTGCAACTATGAGCAATTCCTAAGATGGTGAATGAACAGTCTTGCATGTTTTAAGCCCACTGTGGCTGAGAGACAAAGGGGTGAAGAGGGGGCAAAAAGAAAAGAGGGATGCTAAGAGAAATGTTGTAGAGAGGGAACAGACCAGTGTTTTGTGGTTCTCCTTTCTATCTCGTGTGACCACGGCCCCCTCTTAACAATCTCACTTAGAGACCAGAACACGGCATAAAATGTGCACCCAATCAAATATCCACGCAAACCTTTCTCTTGACTGAAAAGAGTTGGAAGGGGGGTATATGGTAAATTATGGATCATTACAATCTGCAAAAATTACAGTTAATTGCTGCCACCTGCAAGGGGCTTTGACATGGAATTTTTCCATCATAAAAAAGCCATTTGCCCAAACACATTTTTTGCTCCCTTTCTCATAAGCACAAATAAAAAGTGCCCATTACATTGGCTTTGGCTATATGTACGTCTCCAGATTATGTGTGTTTTTATGGCTTGAAACAGAAAGCGCCATATCACTCATAAAACGGCTGCAATAACCTAGTCTCTCCTGTTCACTTTGCTTTGATTTGCAGCCTATACACCTTTCCTCAACTCGCTCCTAATGTCTGAGCAGAAGCTCCATATGCATGAGGAGGAAAATAAATGATTTTTTTTTCTCTTGTTGTGAAGGACAAGAGAGGGAGATGGGGGGTTGGTTCGAATGTCATCTCCTCCTCTGAGACACAGCCATTTCTGTCAGAGGAAAGAAAACCCCATGAGGGATCACGGGAGTGAAGTAAGGAGGCAAGGAAAAATGAAGGGAGCAAAGGAGGGAGAGAAGTGCGGCGTGAAGGGGACTTTCCTAATGACAGCCCACTAGATTTCTGAAGGACACAAGAGCCACAACACATCACTTCAAAGGTGGTAGTCAATTCATTTCTTTAGGTATCAAAAACAGCATGTCTTGTACTATGCAATCACAAGCCCATTTATGGACACTGGACAAAATGTGCTAATGGCACAAGCAGCAAGGATAATTGTTAATCTCATCCAGGCAGTGGACACATTGATGGGCATCAACAAGCCAACACATGCCCTTATTCACAACAATAGCAGAGAGGATATCTAAATAAACCCCCACTATTGTCCTTAATAGCTGTCCTCAAAGGGATGGAAGGACAGTTATTCAAAGGGAGAAAAACATTCTGACAAGGTGTTTGATGGCCTTGAAGGATTTTTTTTTTTTTTTTTTGTATAAAAGAGCAAAGAACTGTGCAAGAGAGGAAGGATGATCTTATAAATGAGCCTGTCCTCTAATGGAATAAAAAAGTGCTCCCTCTTACTCTCCATCTCTCTTTCCCCCCCTTCAGTAAGGCTGTGGCGAGTTAGGGTTGGAGAACAGGAGAGCTGGGGCTAATGCTGGATCTCCTGGTCCCTTTGAAATAGGATCAGCAGAGGGGAAAAAAAAACACACTGACAACCCTTCAGCTGCCATGGCGACTTTGCGGGAGAAAGGATAGAAAGCACAGAAGAAGTAAAAAAGGACAGGAGAATCAGGAACAGAGAATAACAACAATCAGAATGAAGAAAACTATAAAGTAATAGAGAGAAATACAGAGGCAGAGCAGATGAGAGAGATGCAGTCAAAGGAAGAGAAAAAGGCTGATAACTCCTTCAAAGCCATTTCAGCGCACTGCAACACAAAGCAGAAGGAGGCTATTAGGGTGTCTAACAGACATAGTGCACTGTTATCTGGCAGAAAATATGATCCAGGGCTCATTCAAAAAGCACAAGGTCGACTGATGCAAGGGCAGAAGGAAAATTATGGCGTCTTAAACCGCAGATATGGTGGCCTTTAGCTGCAAACACCAAGCTCACAGCAGCGTCCCAGACAACAGTGCATCCAGACAAAGCAATGCACACGAGGAGGCTGGGGCACCATGTACACTTTGCTCATGCAGATTGCTCTATTGTTAGTGACCCAACCCCCAAACCTAGTCTCTCTTTCAATCACCACACACACTTACGCAGGGAGACCATACCACCCACTTCTCCCTTTATCTTATCAGCCCAAACACAAACAAACAAACCAACAGACGCCAAGACAACCATGAACTTGACCCGGTGTTGACAGGTTAATGATGCGTTAAGAAAACTGTCTCTTCCTCCCGTCACCAATCTGCATACTCCCTTAAACTTTCTAACCATACATCCAAAAGTTAGCAGACTTGGTTTGGCCTCCTTTTTTGTTTGTTTGTTTTGTCCTTGACCAACCCTGATGGTGGGCCCAGGCCGTCCTGGTGTGACCATGCAGTTCTCATTGATATTGGTCATTTAGCTAATGGAGCAACGAGCTAACAGGATTAGTTTGCAGGTCTTCCAAAAGAAGGAGGAAGGCAGAGAGACAGGAGACACAAGGGGATGCAGCATGTCACCACAATTTCCCAAAGTTATTAGTCGCCCAGGGAGCACTCACACACACATACACATACACGCATACACCTGAAAAGTGATTATGCTAATAGCAGGTCTTTGCCAATATTCATAAGTGTTTATAGGTGTTGGAGTGAGTGCCTTGGGAAGACAGGGGATGTCAATACAGTGCCTCTTAAGAGCGCCTCAGCCGTAACTGGCGTTAATGTGATTACTACTCTGTTTATGTCATTAGGGTATTCACAGTCAGGGATTGGACAGAGGTGAAGGGTGAAGCAGTAGAGATGATGAGAATGAAGGTGGGGGAATAGTGGAGGCTCCCATTAGAGCTCCTCTTCAGTGTCTTGCATTTTTGAAATATACTCTCTTGTACATGACTTTCAGGTGACTTACCTGACAAATGCGTAGCAAAAAATATCTTCACTCAAAAAACATTCATTCATGCATTCATCAGTGGCTTCAGCGAGTAAAAGTTTATTATGTTATATGGGTGTTGTGTCTCATTAATATTATCACCCTAAGACGCTTTATCTATCTCAGCATCCATTCATATTTGTGAGGTCCAGCTGGCTGGACTTGACCTTCCTTCTTACTTCTCAGTCTTTCTCTGTTTGTCTGTTTCTCTGCCACAGCCACACACACACCCGGGCTCGTACACTCACTTCTTTGTCCTGGACCAGACTGGTTGTGGTGCGCTGAGCCACTGGCCACAGACAAAAGGCTTGTTTGACCAACACTTGTTCCTGAGACAAAGCCGGATGCAGGAAATAGGGTTTACTAAACAGAAAGCCAGCCAGGGAATAGAAGAGGCCTAAATCCCTGTCTTTTACAAATCTGAGGTGGACCAGCTCGCTGGTGTTGGAACCACGCATTACACAAATGAAAAAAAAAGACCACTAACCACTACAGAGAGAAAGAAAAACTTTAAGAGGCATATACAGAGGCAGGGAGAAAAAGAAAGAACTAAAAGCTTACAGAGCAAAAGATGGGGAAAGAGAGAGGTAGGCTGGGAGAAGAAAAGCCAAGCTGGCATGGAAAAGTAAGTGTAGGAGGAAGATCTCCAGATAAAGATACATGGTGGTCTTTGAGGGCCTGTGTCCAGTCTAAAGTAATCTGCTGGCTGTGGCTTTGTCTCCCATCAGACCTTCACACTTCCTACCTTTCCTTCCCCCTTATCCATCTCCTGAAAGCTGATAAGAGCAATAGTGGAACTGAGGCATCTCGGAGTCATTATGAACAGATGGCACCCACACAATGAATGCCAATGAATGCATGCACCATACATAACAGGCGAATGTGTGTGTATATGTGTGTGCATGTGGGGGAGATCAGCATGTTTCTTTAATGGGCATGCATGCTTGTTGTTAGTGAGTTTGACCATATGACTGTGTCCATGTACTGTATGCCTGTATTCATGAGTGTGTTTGGACATTTGTATGTAAAACATGTGCCACAGCCATTTTAAAATTTGCATCACTCTATGCTGTTTCCCTGTATAACCTCACTC